ACTTGTGAGTGGCAAAGGCGAGAATGACTTTTATTTATAAGACTGAATTTCATCAAGTTCAATACAAACAGTGTGTAGAATTATTACAATTTAGAAATTTCTTTATAAATTATTTCTTTATAATTATTTCAATTTAGAAAATATAATATTTGTAATAATATTTGTAATAAAATTTAAATAATTAAAATTTTAAATATTAATTTTATTTTCTTTTAATTCTATATTTTTCTTTTTAATATTAATTTAATAATCTATCTTATAGCTAATCCTCTGTATACATTACATATTTTTAATCTTCTTTTCAATAATCTCACACATGAAATTGTGAATATTTCCACCTCATAAAATTCCAGACAATTGTATCGTTTTAATTTTAATTAGCAATTAAACGGAAGCAGGAGAAAAATCGAATAAAAAAATAAGGAAAAAAAACTTTCTATACAAGTACGATTTTGACCCATTTTAAACAAATCTATGTCGAGCTAATTTACGTTTATTTATAGATCATTTATGAATTAATCATTATGAGGCTAAAAAGCAAGTAAAACGTACAGAAAATAGGAAAAAAAGGGAAGGGAAAAGCTAAACAACGTTTAAATATTCACTTTGTGGATTTAAATTACTAACCATGCATACTACCTCGATCTTGACCCGTTTCCAACGAATTTAAAACGATCGTGCATTTATTTCATGCAAGGAAGTCGGAATTTTCCTAATTTTTCCTCGTGCACGCAAGTTTGTAGTTGAAGATTAATGCCACGAATCCGAAAATGCAACATTTCGGACGATTTGTTAAAAGCATCCTACTGTGACAATATACAGTTTTTGCCAAAAATTTTATGCGAATAAAAGAACTATCCAATGTTCTGTTCCTAGGATTTTCTCGAAATCTCGATGCATTTCTCATGGGGTAAAAACATGACAGGATGATTGGTCGTTTAGAATGATAGGTTACAATGTCGTTCCTCATGTGTGCATTATTATTATATCTACCCAAAAGTTCATTATAATTTTCTTAATTATAGATTAATAGAAAATTCGACATATTTTCTTATTTCAAGATTAAAATAATCATCAGATTATAAATCTCTTTGAAGGATTATAATTGTACGTTAAATTTAAAGAAACTTTCTTCACCAACCAATATTCCAATCTAATTTTTTTTTTTTTTTCAAATTCTCGTGAATATGCTGATAATTCTATAATACTTGAACTTTCTGTACTACATTCCTCGCAGCACATCCTTTTTTTCTTTTTTTTTTTTATAGATTAAAGTTTCACCAAGTTCTCACATCGAGCTTCGTGCGATTTCTCAGATGTTTAAGTTGAAGAAGTTTAAAGCTTTTCCATTTTCAACTTGAAAAGTTCGAACGTTTGGACAGAGGAGGGATTTTGAATTTTGAATTCGTCAAACTATTTAAACTTCGTTGTCCTGTCGCTTCTCTGAATCTCTGAACATCCAAGTTCGCTTTGAGACCAGTCATGTTTTTTTTTTCCAGAGACGCGCTTTCTACAATCAGTAAGAAAAAATTCGATTCAAAAAATCGACTATAACTATTCTATGGAACGTAGACTTGTTATAGCACTCGGAATAAGAAAGAGTTGATTCTTGGAAATTCCCATTGTGCGAATTGAGATAGCTTAGTAACTTTGTTGCAAGCAAATTCAGGGAAAAACTACTGTTCCTCTTTCCATGCAATAAAGTCTCTCTCGAACTGTGATGTGAATAAATAAATATTAATTCGTGGAGAAAAATGTACCTTCTTGTTGAAGTTAGATGATGATAATAATCTTTGAAATGTATCACGATTTTCGAATTTATAAACTAACTTCGTGATTCAAATGGAATTCCATATTTTGTTTCGACTGAATAATTTCACAGAGTTATTCATATAAATTGAATACATAAATAATTTATTATTTTCTCAAAAAAAAAAAAAAAATGAAAATAAAAATATACGAGAAAATAAAGATTTGTTCTGTCAGCAAGTAGAAAATAATGCTCCATATTTATTTCAGTCTCATCGTTTAATCGCTACTGAAATATATATTCTTGCAATTAAATTATTAGGAAATTATCGTTATCCTAAATCATCAATTCATTAATTCTGTAACCAAGAATTTCAAGAATTATCGAGAAAAATCTCGAGACGAAATACGATTAAGCAAATGTTTGATGAGATTACAACGTTCCGTGAAGAAATCCTCGATCTAAAGGGAATAGATAAAAAGATTGAGAAAGCAAAGTGAATCGAGTGCATCATTCTTCTCGAGCCGATATTTACATAATGCCTCTTGCACGCAATTCACTATGTATGACATTTCACTTGTCTGCAAGGTATGTACAGCCGTTTCGCGGAAAGGACGTCACATTTGTTGGTCTTGGTGTAGTAAAACTTTTCTTCCCCCTTTCCGTTGCATATTCCTGTGTGATTGTTCATCTGAAATTCTAATTCAAACGCCGCTGAAAATTTATTTCGCCAAAGTTCCTGAACATGAGACCCGATCACACGCAATCCTCATGTTGTTCCTAGTTACATTTGCAATTATATCAATGAAACTTTACTTCTGTGCAATTAAATTATGCACGAATTGAATTATATGAAGATTACTTGAAGATTGGAGATAAATCGTTATAAATTATAAATTGTTTGTTATGAGATGTTTTGTTAAATTAGCTATCTACTTTCGTGAATAAATTAACTAACTTTTTTTTTTCAATATTCTTACATCTATGATGCTGTAATGCTTTAAGCCTTGTCCACGTTTATAAACATTATCTGCAAATATGTATTGATATACAAGGTTTTTGGGTATTCGTGCCAGTTCATAGGATGAAGTATAACATAATAAACGTATACAATATGTTTATACATGTGATGAATGTAGATGATACTGTAGATGAATTGTTGTATCGTTGAAACAATAAAGTGGTCAAATTTTCGATGAAAATTTCGAATCACGTTCACAATATTATTGAAAATAATATGAATCGAAATATAATTTCACGAATATAATTTTACTGCTTGACAACCCTAAAACAAGGTAATAATTAGTATAATTGAAATTTAAATGAAAAAAGTTTGAATACTTACACAATTTCATTGGCACGATAATAGTATGGGATATTGATCAGGATATTAAGGGTCAATAACTGTTTATCGGCCAACAATATTCAATTTCTAAAGAATCGTTGTAAATATCAAACGTGCAGCTTTGCATCAGCGATCAGAGAATATATCTGCGTTTTATGAAGTTCCAATATAAAATAAACGAAATTCGTCGACGATTCGACTCGATGTGGAAAATATTTGTCATCGATTCGAATCGATATAAACGAATAGTAAATTATCACCATTGACATGGAAATTCATCTGATGTACAAAAGAAATTTTCGTGGGCAATCTCCATGATACAAACAATTCTCGATGAAGATTGATAAATAACATTATCTATCATTTTCACATAAAATGAAATATCTTCTTTATTTTCAAATTTTAATTTCAATAATTAATAATTTTATACTCCAATATAAATTTATACGTATGTAATAATAAATTTAAAATGAAATAAATCGTAATTTTTCCATTTTCAATCAATATATACATGTCTTAATGTACAAGGGAATAAATATATTTGAAAAGTTTATAATAATCTTAATAATACCACGAGCGGTTCGGGCATATATCGATTATCGGGTATATCGCGTGATTGCGACAATTGCAATGACGCATCGCTTCCAAGCGAAATGATATATAGAAATTTCATGCTAACAAATTCAGGACACATTGTGTCGCTTCGTGTATCATACGTTATTCAAAGATCAAACGTCGAATTTCAAAAGGTGAGAAATACGTGGAACTGATTGCTTCTATTGTCAATCTAATTTATTGCCAAGATGATGAAAATGAACTTTTCTTTTCAAAAACTTGATTATGCGATTATCAAACAAGAATTTTTTATATAATTTTTTTGTAAAAAATTTAAATTTATGCATAAATATACAAAATATAATAATTCTTTGATATGAAACTTTTCATACAACTAATTTTACTTGTAGAATATCTTTATACGAAATATTATTATATGGTAATAATAACTTGGTAGATTTTATGTATACTCTGGATCTTATTCGCTGTCCTCATCAATCTCTAAAAATTAGATCTCTCGACCATTCATTTCTCATCTTGTAGTCGAATTCTCAAAAACTGCACGTACCGATAAATGTCTGATATGTGTCCCAATTGTAGAGATTAAAGTGAACATTATTGTACGTGGAGTAGCGTAATAGTGGATTAATTTACAAATAAATATAAAATTTACTATATAAAAATATCGATAAGAGATTTAATTATACGCTGGAAATATCTGTACGTAGGCAATCAGCCAATCGCCATGTCGACAGTAAACATATTTTAGAATTCTTATTTTCTCTGTTCATCTTCGAGTTTTTAATAAAATGAATTTTCTTTTAATTCTTTTTATCCTCGAGAGAAATAAATCTATTATTCCGTTTGAATTTTCTGCTTGATCTTGTACAATTTATTTATTTGAGAAAGATAAATTGTTCTTTCCGGAAAAGAAACGATGGCTTATTATCGTTATGACTTTGAGAAAAAATTGAGAGGAAATTCTGTTACATCAGTTCGTAAATGAAAAATAAATTACACAGACTGGAAAATAATAATTAACTTCTAATTGTACCATTTGTGGTTTATTTATCGTATTGATCTTCCATATACATATAAAGATAAAGATCTTATTTTACTTTGCACATCATTCTTAATACTCTTCTTCTTATCATTCTTGATAAAAAATTCAAGATTAATCTAGATTAATGTATCTTTTTTTTTCTTTATTTGAAATTGTAATTATTGATTATAAATGTATAATTTTTTAAGGAAATATGTTCGAAGATTTGTTAAAATTAATAAAGAAGGAAATGTTTTATATATTTCAATTTTATATATTATAATTTATTTATGAATTTATATTTTCAGACGTGTAAATAAAAAAATTTTAAATAAAAATAAAACATGATTAGAGCAATTATCTTGCGAATAAAAAGAGATGCTGGTTGTGAATTCAATTTTTTTTTTTTTAATATAACAAATGTTATCTCTAAAATAAATATTTTGTAAAAATAATTTGATATGACAAATAGTATTCTTAATCGAACCGAATAAATAATCTGAAACAAATGAAACATAATGAATGAAATAAGAATATGGAGCGAAAAATATGAAATGTAAAAGTTAAATATGATTAAATTATAGTTAGATAAATTTAGTTTCACAAAATTGACTGATAAGTACTTTTATTCTTTAAACAAGTTTTAGTTTTTGTTTATTCTATTTCGAACACGCACACATTTGAACAATTTCAAATCGCATTTTCATCATATGTCTGTCGTGCAGTTTCAACTTTATCGAGTAAACGTATAAATGGAAAATACATGGCACGACGTTAAATCCTTCTCTTCGTTCAATTTTCTATTTTGCCCTTCACTCTTATATAGTGTTCTTTAATCTCCCTGGAGTGTTCTGTTAATTAAAACAAATTTACATAACACTTCTTTCTCTTCTTTCTTCGTAATTGTCAACCGCATTAATCAAATATTTATGGCTGAGTATTAATTAGTTATGACGTTTACTGGACGGGCATTTAGGTATTGCTGATTATATCCGATAGTATCATTAATCTTAATATTCAATAATCACGTGTTTCACCACCACGGTGAAATAAATATTCCATCATCGACGATCTCTCCTCCATAAACATCAAAATAATTCTCTCGATTAATTTCTGAATTTGAATTAGGTAGGTATAACATCAATTGATTTATTGCATTTGATATCGAATATTCTGGAAAAATTTTTGACATTAAATTAGTGATCTTATCTATGTAATTTATAACTTAAATTTAACAATCTACTTCAATGATGTATTATAAATTATTTATAATTCATTGAATTTCATTGAAATGTATATATATATATATATATATATTTATCTTAATAATTATTATTGAATATACGGTGATTGACAATTCTTAATTCAATTTCCATCCAATTAATTAATAATGTATATAATTAAATTTATATGTAAAGAAGAATCCAATTTCGAATGCAAAATTAATCTTTGTGATATAATTTAAAGTTTGTTTTCGACAAACGAAATACAACGAAAATCATAAAATACTGTCACACTCTTACAACATAAAATGTTCAACAGAATATTTTGTCGATTTGCGTATTTATAAACTGGCTTTAATATGAATAACTTATATATAGTTAGTTTACAAGTTTCCATCTCTCACTATTTCATCCCTTGTTCCGTAATAAGCATTAAATTATGCACTCGTGATTACTTATCCGATATTTATTAATCGTTCTTATTCCGCAATTTAATAGTTCCGTATTGCAGGTATTATATTGCAATTGCAAACCACTTTTAGATTATATGTGATTATAATTCCGAAAGAGCGCTACAATACAATAGTGGGAGCATAACTTCAGTTCAGTTTTATCCCTGAGAATATAGAATGAAATGTTCGATAAGACAAAAAAGAAAAAAGTAACAATTGACTATTATAAATTTCAATTATAACACTATATATGATGACGCTTTGTTAATTATTTGCTTATTACAAAGAGAAGTACAGAAACTTTATTTGCCGCCGCCTTTGTTTCGATGGTACAACATTATAAATAATCGAGATAGTTATGATGCTGTTCGTGTATATGATAATGCACGCAGTTTGAATTAAAACAGACTGAGATAATATTGTATTATATATTATATACTTGGACCAATTTATAATTTCTAGGAAAAAACTGGAGATTTGGATGAGATTTAATTAAATCTTTTTTGAATGAAAATAGTTTTTTTTCGTGAAAAAATTCGATCTGAATTTTTGAATGGAAATGGCAATGAACATAAGAAAAGTTTTATGTGATATTTTGATTTTTTTTTTCTTTTAAAGCAAGATATATTCTAGCTTTGGAAATTTAAATTGCGTTGGAAAAAGATTTGTTATATAAAAATAAAATAAGCCAAGAAATATATAAATATTGAAATCACGAAGTTTTGATTTTGAATAATTTAAAATCGTGATATTATTTATTTATTATAATTTAATAAATAATATATAATAAATACAAATATTTTCTATATTCAAAAATTTAAGATAAATATAATCATTTATGCATTTTTCATAATTAATTATATGAGAAAATATCGATATGAATCTCCTTAATAATAGATTTACGTCACAATTCTATTTCCATAAGAACAATACAAAATTGCACATTTATAAGTGAAAAAAAGAGAAAAACCAAAGCCTCTATTGTATTGCCACGAGAATTTATATATTTAAGATTATTATTAAAATTAAAACGTTAACAACTGCTGCATAATTCAAATCAATCTGATATCAATTCGGAAAAATTGTAAAATATGAATCTAACGAAATAATTTTTGTAATAAATAAAAACAATTTATCGCACAAATTGGCTTTGCAATAATTATTAAGATCCTGATAACGATATAATTATTTAAATAAAAAAATGACAAATTATAAATGGCACTTTATTACTTGTTATCAGTTATGCAACGAAAAAAATAAATAAATTAAAAAATATCTAAAAGATAATTTAATTGATATTGTGTTAATTGTGTTAATTGTGTTAATTACATGTTAGAATTTCTTTTTTAATAGCAATTTATTAAAAATATTTTGAACAATTTTATACTATTATGTAATTTCGATCACATTTAGCAAATTATTATAAATAAATCCTTGAAAATTTAATTGATCTGATATAATTATTTAAAAATTTTTTATTTATTAACTTTGTAAATAATATAAGTTAAAATACTTTGAATACATTGAAAACTTTTAATATTCTATTATTTTGTTCTATAAATTTTTTTAATATTTAATATTATCAGAACAATAATAAAATTGTTCAAAAATTCAAAAATGATAGAATTTTAAAAGTTAATTTCAACAAATTTTCTCTTCAAAAATATTATTCTCTTCTGTATTAAAATGTCCTATTTTAACATAAAAATATTTGAATTTCCCTTACACGTTTACCTTTCTAAGTAAAGTTAAAAATAGGACGATGAAATTACAAATTTCTCAAATCTTTCGAAATGCTAGATAGAAGAATTGAGAAAAGTAATATTGTTCCATAACCCATTATGTTCTATAAACATTCTCTGGAATCAAAACGTTCGAAATTCTTAAACGAATTTCGTTGTAAAACAACTTTTTACAAGAAATCATAATACATACATGGCAAATTCGATCGATAATTTTCCACATCCTAGGCATAACTGGGAAATCGAATATCCAGAACACCAAAGTTTCCTCCTCGAATTGAATCTTGGCTCGAATCCACGAAAAAATGGCGGATCAGTGGCTAGATGTAACAATCCGAGCTTGTGTTTGGAATACAGATAGCCGCGTTCTCCTCGATAACCATCGAAATCCCTACTCAAATACCTGTTCTCGCGTCGAGAAAAAGATGGCGAAAGGTGGGGCGGAACAGGATGAAGGTTTGACCGCGAGGTTTCGTGTTCAATTCAGTATTATTTCATTCGTTGCGTATCTACGAGCGATCCGCGTCACGATTTCGAATAATAATCTAAAGGAGAACAATAAGGCATCGAATCAAAGGGGTGATCCAGAACCCTTGTGTGATCGTCTTACAAAGAAAGAAAGGAATCGTCCATCCTATGTGTAGAAAGGTGAGATTTATACTCAAATGGAGAATTGTTGAAAACTAAAAAATAAAAATTCATATATTAGAATTAAATTTTGTATGTAGAAATTTATTAATTAATGAAATATTACAATTTGAAATTTATTATTAAGTATTTGGATGTAGAAAAAAATATAGTGATCTTGAAATGTTCCTTTGAATTATGTTTCTGATTCTTTTCGTATATATATATCCATATTTGTCTGCATCTGTAAATAATTTTACCATAAGTTTAATTCAATGGATAATGAAATGGAGATATTAGAGATTTCTAAAAAAAAGGAGTAAAATAATGCAAAAGATTAATTTTATATTTTATTCTGAATTTTGATCACTTTAATGATTTCTGAAGGAGCAGTTGGCTTTATTGTCAATTAACAATTTCTTCTTTCCTCTATTTCATATTCAATTCTATGAAATATTGCCACATTATTTTATTGCTTTATTTCTTTTTTCTTCTCAATTGTTTTCGATTTAATTATTTTATAATTTAACGAAACTTCATTTGAAATATGAATATCATTCAATGAATATTTCAATGTAAATTTTTAAATTTTGTAAATTTTTCAACGCTATAAAAATTATTTAAAATGATACCTAAATGAAAAAATAGAATACATATAACAAGTGTAAATAATGTTTAAAATTAGTAATAATTTAAAAACAGGCGTTATATATAATTATTTTATAATTACACATTTTAAGACACAAAATGTGCAATGTATATTTATGTGAATTTTATTCTCCTTCTCCCTATATAAAGCACACTTTTGGGAAACAATTATTTCGTAATTAACAGAATATATGTTTAAACCGTAAAAATCTAGTGTATATAAAAACGAATCTTCTTTTTCGTGGAAACATAGTAAATTTCGTGGTATAATTATTTCGTAATTAGGAAACTACATTTATATGTTTAACTTTTAAAAAAAAGTAATAAAAGTCTAACATATAAGTTGGAAACTTTTCAAAACGATGCATAGTAGATTTTCGTTACAATTATTTTGCAATTAATTATGTATGATACTTATATATATATATTTCTCTTGCGTTTCTCATTAAAAATATCATTTATTCAAGTGTGTATCAGGGTTGAACACGTTTCATTTGAAATGATAGAATTATAATTATTTAAAAATAATACAGCAAGATTTCTATTTGTGCATTATTATAATTTCTCATGCATGAAATACATTAAGAATTTATCGAAATTCAAAATGTGAAACAGAATAAAAAATTATTTATAATATCTTCATGATATAATTATTTTTTTATTAAAATATTTAAAAAATCATAATTATTGGAAAATATATGTAACCGACTATATAATATATAATATTATTCATATCATCATTAAATATTCTCTATATACGTATCTCTATTTTAAGGAAACTTTGCGAATGAACATGATATAAATTTGGAAATAAAAAGTACATATGCAATATGTACACATATTCAAATAAATCAACTATCGATCACACTGCAGATCAACCCAATTAACGCAATTAACTTTCTTTTACCGAATTCGTCATTAGCGTTTCCTCATTAACGTTAATTGCGAATTAGTATCTATGCTATTCGATTCTGTCAACTCGATGGAAAAACGATATGGATAGACATCGAGGCGTTTTGTCTCCTATCTCGCAATAATGTTTGATTCAATCCACGGAGAAAAATAATTGAAAAATAAGTCTGCGGCCTGTACGGTAGATAAATTCGCCTAGAATATTCTTGAAGAAAGAATTTCATTCGTCGCGACAGATATCGTCGTGCAATTGACGTTTCGACGATATCTTGTTTTTCAATTCTCGTATCGATTTCAATATCGTTTCTGCGAAAAAGATGTGGATGGAAGAAAATCGTCAATAAAATACGACGTTTTGTAAATTAGACAGAGATGGATTAATTGCTGGAGCAACTATCAATATAAATATAGTGTTAGATTTGCGAGTCTTCTAATAATTTAATTTACGAAGCGTGATATTTATTTTTTTCTGAAAACATTTTATTTTTTGTGGGATGATAAAAAGAATACTTCAAATGTTCCAGATATCTCCAGTACTTTGGTTTTTACTGGATATAAAGTAATTGTATATATAAAGATAAGAACTTGTAATAAAAGTTGATTGCCACAATTTTATTTGATCTTTAATCTAAAGTTAATTTGTTAAACTTGGTGGAATTCCATTTTCCTTATCTTATTTTCTTGTACTATTTCTATTAATCCATAAAAATGTTTAAATATTTATAAAAATAAATAACTATCACTAATTAAGTAATTAGTAATATACTTCTCCTTATTTTCCATAACAGTTATTTGTCATTATCCTATTAAATTTTCTTCCTCTACCACAAAACTCTTATCGTAACGAGTTCCATTATCTTAAACTAAATTCTGAAGACCACGTTACACATAGAATGATTCAATAAAAACTATTAATGGATACTAAAATTACATACAGGATGATTCAATAAAAAACTATTAATGGTCACTAAAAAAATAACATTTCCTTTTTTTCAACGCAATAACGAGATACTCAACGAAATTCCCGCTTGCACGAGAACATCTCGTTGAACAGGAATATAAGTCCATGTTTACTGTTAATTAAAATCTCCGAAATTCGAGGATCGCTGGGTCTTGGATTAAAATATAAATCCGCCATTATTTCGTGCATCTTCGTGTTTCGCTCGTGGATTACAATTTCGTAATGTCAGAAATATTCCCATACTTGAAATAAATCCGTGTGTTAATTCATTCCTTCTACCAGGAACGATGTGGTAATCATATAATAAATTAATTCCGATTACCGTATGACTCGATTATAATGATTCTATTTTTTTATTCGACTTCAATCAGTTGATTCATTTGAATAAACTTCTTTTATAATGGAACAATTAAATTGTAATTGGATTGGACTATAATGAAATACAATTACATTACGATTATATTATTGTTGAATAATTATTTTATATGTAATTTGTATAATACGTTATTGTTATACAATGTAATAAATATAATATGTAACACATATATATATATATATATATTCATATTAATTACAATCAAATATATATTATATTATTATATTATATAATATTTTGCAGTATTATTATATATATTATTATATATATTACCTCGATTAAATTTGAGTTCGAGTTATTATAGTTTTGCTTCGATATCCCATACTGAACGTGATAACTATGCAAATGTTATTTTGAAAATGTTAGACACAAATTGTACAGAGGAATTGTCTATCTAGAAAACCAATGTTCCTCTTCGAGGTTTCCTGTGAAACAGAGAAGTAATCAGATCACGGGCCGAATTTCCAATATATGTATGTGTATATCTATAGGACGAATAACTTTCTTGTTTATATCTACTTATGTTAATTTGTCTCCTTCCTAGAATGACGCGTATTTACTTTATGATGATTGTTACCTGTATTGGAAGATAATTAACTAGATATCTTTCGATAGAAAGATTTAATAATATTGGTTATTCTGTGGCATAGTGGCAAGATTAATGATTCGTGAAAATTATTGGATTTGGATTATTATTATGGTGAAATAATAATCTTGAGATATTGGAATTTTTTTAAATTTGGAATTACTTTTTCCAAATTATTTTTATCGAAATAAATTTTCTTCTAGTTGAAAGAATTAATTTAATTTTTATTCTTATATAATTCTTTCTATAATTATTTTTATAAATTGAACCATCATCATCACGATTCATAGTTATTTGCTTTATATAATAATATCATGAATGCTTTATATAATATCATTTCATAATCTTTCTAAACATGTTTTACACTTCATTTGCAATAAAAATAAATGAAGCAAAAATTCACGAAAATAATAAATGGAATAAATCATCACAACTGAAAGTAATAATTTAATCTTATATCAGAATTATTCCATTTAAAATATTTTACACACATTTTGTTGTACAACTTTGAAATGTTACCCTGAACTGCATACTACTCATAGTAACTGGTTGCGACATTTAAATTACGAGATCGTATAATAGTTAGGCGATTTTCTATGTTGCGTGAGTCGATGGAATTGGAAATGTATCCAGTTCCAGAACGGACCTCGTGAAAGGAGCAAATATATTGATTCTCAAGGACATATATCGTTGGTGTGCGTGTGCAGAAAATCATACATTACGATATCAATCGGACATGCTTCGATCGGTTACTGATGCTTTATGCTCGTTTAGATTCTACACGGACTCGATATTATCTAAATTCGATATGCTTATCGATATTATATAATTCCTTTTTTTCTTTTTATTTAAAATTTATTTCGACTAATATATTATAATATACTGTGATATACAATGGACAGCAATCAAATATCAAACGATCATTTTTCTTTTTTGATCGATATATTCTATCTCTGCAATTATATTTTTTGTAAATTTTACAAATGATTTCCAAGGTTCTACTAAATTATGTTTAATGTAGCCGTTTATAACTTCTATATAATCGTTTATATATTCTTATCTTAATTGACAGTAAAACGTTTCATTTTGATTGTATTTACAAAATAGTAGTAATAGTAGTAAGTAATAGTTATATATATATATCGATAAAAGATACTTACTGTTGGCCATTTTTCATTATCTAATCTCACTTTTTAAAAAAGATTTAGTTTTCGA